GCCTGTGAATTGTGAATCTTCAATTACTATTTTTTCCATGTACACGTTGTCGAAATTAATGCTCAATCCTCCTCCCTGAGAGCTAGTGGTGTTGAGGTTGGTGTTGTTAATAAAGTTACAGCTAGAAATAGTGACTCTAGAGTAAGACACTCCTTTTTTAATTAGTAGCCCACTTAATGGTGAGTCACGAATAGTCACAGATGTAAGTTGAATGTTTTGAATGTCTGTTAGGATGATCATTCCCTCAACAAAAGACACATTAGTGATGCTGATGTTATGGAAATGATTAAAAGAAATCTTTGAAAGTTGAATTGTTGGACTACCTCTACCAAGCAATGTCATTGATAACTTATAATTATCATTTGAGTATCCAGAAATACTCCTTGTCTCGTGAAGTGTGTAGTTTAAAGAGGTTCCTTCTTTACCTAGTACCAGTACATGATGATGGTATTCAGTGGTATTGATAGCATCCAGAGCTGTGTCAATTTCAGTGTCTTTACAAGCTGTTACATTCACACCATTCCCTTCATTATCTTCCACATAATAAAGACAGCAGGGCTCATCCTCTTCATACCCCAAGCCATTCCTTATATCTGTTAAGTTAGTGATCTCACCTGCTTCAATAGGAGAGTTTGACTGTAGTAGGAATACACTTAGACTGGCAGATTGACTGCATTTAGCCTGAGCCTCATTGACAAAGAAGGCAAACAGAAGCAGTATAACAAGTGCCATATTATCCACCACACATCAATAGTTATGAGTTATCTTTAGAAACCGACCCATTCCCTTATATGGCTCAAGCATAGTAATTTCAGGACAAGAGGTTAAGCTTATCTAACACTAGGTATGCTTATCTAACACACTATATCAACACTATTAAATGTATTAGTGTTTGTTATTATATCAATTGTAAGAGAAACAAACTCAGCAGCTAAACTAAAGCCATTTCATTTGGGAGGGAACTGAGAGGAAATGCTATATGAACAGTTGAAACAGCTTGAGGATGAGAAACTAAATAATTTTACGCCTCTTGCCACAATTGAGCTCTCTTACTTTTCAAGTGGTATCAATATCACTGTCCAACAGGACACCCTCATGTTACTATTGAGCAATTACAATGAAGAACATATGAAATAATCATTAATTCATTTTACACAGTAATACTTTCAATATTTCACAATGTTATATATCACACATAGCAAAAAAAACAAACAAATAGCTAATTAAGTTTTTAATAAAATGATATACAATTATATATAGTTATTCTATGTCAAATAAAATCACAAAATTACTAACATGTACATTTTTCATACCAATACATTGTAAGCTGTTATTTCACTTAAAGATCTTCATCCTCAATTTGCGTATGTCTTATTGATAATCTCCTTTCATTTTCATCTGGTGTATTGTCTTGCCACTCTTGATTATAAGATGTTGTCAATGGCCTCTCCACTACCGTTGATCCATGGACTATTTTGGACTTCTTCCTTCCTCTTATGGTTGAGTTATCATCATCTAATAATCCGAGGGCTGGTTCACGATAGTCTACTGCTGCAGAGACAGATCTCAGTAGAGGCTGTTCCAAAGGTTCTATGACACTGCTCATTGTTTCGATGTGTTCTTTTCTAAAGAAGATCCAAAGTTTCATTCTGTCTCTGTGCTTTTGAGGTATTTTGAGGCACAAAGCAAATAAAAATCCAAGAACTCCATATACAAGTGGGAACAATATCAGAATTCCTGTTATTGCTGATTGTATGCTTATGCTGCTACTCTGGTATATGGTTGTAGCTGTTAAGCCATAAGTGAGAGCAATGAGGAGGAGGTTAGCAAGAAAGAAAGAGTCCAGTGCATTCAACCAGGTACTCTTGTATGGCATTATGATGCTGTGGAACGTCAGAACAATCAACGTAATAATCTGATACATGTATTGAAGTGAAGAGGTTCCTGCTGTAGGTGAGATAGATACTGCAAGATAAAGCTGGCGACATAGGAAATAGTAACCAGCCATCCAGCGATACTTGTCCTTATAGCAGTCTT